AGTAAAGAACTTGTGTCGCTAAAGTTTCGTCGGAACGAAGTTCCGGAAAGTTAATTAACAAACGGAGACGTAACAATACAATAAAAATTGACTTACAAAGTAAATATTTATATTATGTTTGATCTGACTGTTAAAATGAATAACAATTAACGTGGTATTAACAATATGTTTCATGAATTATCAACTGCGGGATTAGCTTGGTGTTATTATACATAATTATACTGTCATGACTCATATTCCACCTGACATGTAACAAAAGTCTTAAGTTAGACCTACTTAAGTTATACGTAGATTCAACAGACAGTGAAGTCCGGCTAAGCAGGTTAATCCAGTAATTTCTACCACGTAAGGCACTCAAATTCACAATGAAAAATCAGTTTCACACAAACTTAGATATTTTCTGGCTTCACATGAATAAAAAAAGCGATCGACAAGGCCATTCTGATGTAACAGTAAAAGTAGGATAAGAGAGAAGACGAATCACAGACATAATATTTCGCTTGGCGTAAAATGAGGTAGGCCTATAACCTTAATACTAATACACCATGGTCATAGATGTGAGCCTTGATTAAACTTTTAATCCCTAACGGGGTGGATGTTATAGGCCTAATATGTTCAAAACGTTTCTCTCGAGTATGTATGTCATAATCCATCAGGTATGCCTCAAGGATGACCAGGAGGTAGTAGCCCTCTGTGAGAGAAACTATTGCAAAGTTCAGTATACTTGAGAGTGAATAATAGACAAATGGAAATGGTAATCTTAAACAGAATCAGAAGCCAAAGACCGAGAATCCGAGACCAAGAAATTCAAAACAAGATGACAACAATTTCATCTTTAAAATCCCTAATATAAAAGAAAAGACAACAGTAGGGGAATTAATTTATAGGAATAACTTTTCAAAAGTAAATTGTTGTTTCTTTATTTACGGATAAATCAGTCATTATATAGATATTGTTATAAAAGGAAACACTGTATAGTATTGTAAGGTTCTGATGACCTGTTGAGGAGATATTTCAAATACCATTTCAATTAACAATCCGAGCCATCCCTACATAGTCAGTGCTACCGTCTGCTTGATAGATAGATATAGAAATTTGAACACACACACAGCTATCCATATTCTCAAAACATCATTTACATATACAACGTAACTGAGCTACTCCATTTGCTTATTAATTCAAAGAATACAAGACAAGAAATACGTCGAAATATAGCTAACTATAGGGACTTATATTCAATTGACACAGAGTGTAGAGAATTGAATATCCGGAAAATTTTCTATAAGAATAATTTATAACTTATGAAACTTAGAAATGATGTTACAATAGATGATAAAATATGAGGATTTTCCAAATACAAAAGTTGAATTATTATTAGTAGTAGGTGATTTGTTGTTATTGAAGAGGTAGTTTCGTAAAACAAGATGGTTAGGTATCTAAGCAATATTACATTTAATATTCAAGTTCCCGTTTTGTTTTTTATTTTCCATTTTTTACACTTAATTATATTAAGAGATTAATAAAAAAAACTGTATAAAAAGCATGATTAATTTCAGTGTAGACCGGGTAACATCTTTGTTCTTGTTAATCCTAATAATCAGAGTAAATTTATTTTCCTATAGCAGCGACGCAGTGTCCTCTCCCGGCAGTATCTCTATACTCCAAAGTTTCCCTGTCTCAGAATAAGAATCCTGGTTCTTTTGCCACTTACATCTGTGACGATGGCTACGAATTATTTGGGTAAGATTGATTCGTTGTTTAAATTCATTAAAATAATTTGATTTGTTTTTCTGTCATCTAGGTAAGGTTCTTATATTTGTTAAATGTATAATATCGCAGCTTAATTCACAGTCAGAAAATGTCCTTGTTTTAAGATCATAAATAATATTCAACGTTAAAATTGGTAAACACATTTTAATTAGGCCTATCTATGGCCTTCAAAAAGTTAACGACTCAACATGTTTTCGACGTTGCAACGTCATCATCCTCAGGAGTGAATTACGTCGAAACATGTAGAGTCGTCAATTTTTTGAAGGCCAAAACACAATAATTGTCCTTCTTTTGTTGTTGTTCTAGCTTTTTAATACTATTGGTATAAATCATATCTTTTCTTACAAATTTCTTTTTGTTACAAAATTTACTAACCAAAACTTGTATCATGATCGTTAGGGTTATATATTAATTTTGTTTTGAGATAATTAATTTCAGTCCTAAGATTGTGAAGGAGTTACAAGGAAATTTCATTTTTAATTTTATTATCGCGGCTTAGAGTTTTGGGGGACTTAGTTGAAATTTATTTTAGGTTTAACACGGGGGCGTAGATTAGAATATTTAATGGTTAAAATGTGTTTCCGATTTTAACAACCAGTGCACAGCGTAGACTTTAAAAGTCGCGAAATTAATTTTTGTTGTTGTTTGCTCGAATAAGGACTATATTTGTTAATGCAAACTTCATTTGCGAATATTAACATATGATTTAAATTCTTTGTTTCTGTCTCCCTCTACAGTTTCTGTATTCACTGCTGAGTTGTATTGCCATTTCTCTTACCCTGTATCACAAAGAAGCTATGTAGTAAACTAACTGTACTATTTACACCAACTCTCTTAGCTCTCTAAAGGTTGCCCTGGATCACATAGGAGCTATGCAGTAAACTAACTGTACTATTTACACCAACTCTCTTAGCTCTCTAAAGGTTGCCCTGGATCACATAGGAGCTATGCAGTAAACTACTGTACTATTTACACCAACTCTCTTAGCTCTCTAAAGATTGCCCTGGATCACAAATAAGCTATGCAGTACACTAACTGTACTATTTACACCAACTCTCTTAGCTCTCTAAAGGTTGCCCTGGATCACATAGGAGCTATGCAGTAAACTACTGTACTATTTACACCAACTCTCTAAAGGTTGCCCTGGATCACAGAGAAGCTATGCAGTAAACTAACTGTACTATTTACCCAAACTCTATTAGCTCTCTGTTGGCCCTGGAATCGTTTAATATGAGTTCTCACCCTGTTCTCTTCGATATTCAGGAACAACTGGCTCAGTTTTCTCTGTCATCTGTTCCTATCCAGATTTTTGTGGATACCTGGCCATGTCGGTATTCTAGGGTACGAGCTTGCTGACACCGCAGGTAAGTCCATGTGCTCTGGCGTTGTCACAGCCATGCTTGTCCCGTATGTGGACTATGGTCATGTGATCAAGGGACGGTTTCGCACCAGTTTGCAATCGATTTATCGTGAGCAAATTCATAACAAGCTTTTCCAAATCAAACCTGCTGTTGTTCTCTGGCCATCTAGTTTCTGTAAGGATAGGAAGTTGTCTTATGTAGGCTACACATTGGTCACAGTTGTTTTACACATCGTTTTCTTTTATATGGGACTGATCCACCAATGTGTGGCCTTTGTGACACTCAGGTCACAATTGTCCACGTTTTACTGTCGTGACGTCGTTACCAATGTGTGTGGCGATACCATTTTAGACATATTTTTTCTAAGGGTTTACCCCTGACGTTGGACGATGGTGACGCTGTCCAATTTGATTGTCTTTTTACTGGACACAGGCCTCTTCAATTCTGTTCATGTTTTTTTTACCTGATTTTTGGGCATTGTTTAGCATTCACCTAGAGTTTTATTTATTTATTTTTGTCTTTTTAATGGTTGTTTGGCGCAGATAGCCACGTTGCTTTGCACCATTATAAACCAACCAACCAACTAATTGTTTCTGTCATTTCTTTTCCACATCGTAGTTTTCAAAGTGTTATATTGGTTAATCAGTTGGATTGTTACAGCTTTGTAGAATGACATCACTTGTTTTGTTCGTTGGATTTTGCGTAAAGCTACATGACAGATATCTGTGCCAACCCTCCCTAATCTTAAACTTGTAGGGTAGAGGGAAGGTAGTCAGTCACCGCCAACTCTTGTGCTACTCTTGTCACAGTAAATACTGAGATTTGACTGTTACTCTTATAACACATAGTTTGGAGCGAGATTTGGCACCAACGGGATACCTTCATGTTCATCATCCAGTACGCTATCTACTAGGTCACGCCCAGCCCATGTTTCATCTGTATACAAAAGTTATTCCTCAGTTGTTCATCAACATTTTTGTTCAGAAGGTTTGTTTGTTTGTTTTTAATTATGCACAAAGCTACATAAGGGCTATCTGTGCTCTGCCCACCACGGGTATCGAAACCCGGTTTCTAGCGTTGTAAGTCCGCAGACATACCGCTGTGCCACTGGGGGGGCTGTTCAGAAGGAATGATTTTTCCTCTCCACTGCCCAAACAAAGGAAATAGAGCTTTCCAGGGGGTTTAGGAATCCTTCTGGCGCAAACTGAAAAACCCCTGAAAGTTTCATGGTAATTAATTGTCGAGAAGTTGGAAATTTTTCGTTAAGAACAGACAGACAGACAGAAGCTGTTTTACATTTGATCGGAGATTGGTACTGACTGGGAAGGACTATCTAATAAGTAGGTCGGTATAAGTAACAATTAAATCCTTAACATGTACTCTAATAGGCACGTTAATACATTATTGACTTGCTATAAAAAGTAAATATTCAACGAGTGTTAAAAAGAAACACGAAATCAGATCATCGTTAGTGGTACAAATTGTGCAGGAAGTTTATAAAAAGACGAAGTTTGCTCTGCCAAATAGGTTACGTCGATTTTACTAATGATCATTCATTTTTTGTTGAAAACTCGCCGGTGGCTCAGCTGTGAGTCTGCGGGCTTATAACGCGGTGAAAACGGTATAGATAGCCCATTGTGAAGCTTTGTGCTTAGTAACAAACAAACAATATAATATGCCCTAACTTCACTTCTATGTTTCCTAATGAATTTATTTCTGAAAATTTTAGACACCGAAAGCCCAAATCTGAAAATGTGTTGAGCTTCGTGAATTTTTTATCAATTTCCACAAATACTACTAGATGTACTTCGGCAGGGTCCCTGAAAGTGCTCTGGTTCAAGAGTAAATAAAACCAATATCAATATCAATTTGTATTTCTTACTTTTGAAGTTTATATGCCATGTTGTGTTGTAGCCTACAAAAAACATAATCCTTCTCGTGATTCATGGCATGCGCACGTTTTACTGACAGTACAAATTGGAACATTAAGCGTCCCTTATGTGACGTCATTTTAGTGTCTACTGACAAACGCCCTTCGGCCCCCTTTCGGGACATTACTGGAAATAAATGGTTTTGCACGCCAGCTTACGAATCGATAGATTTCTTACTTCGTTGCCATCCTGTACTGTATAATGAAAACTTTTAAAAATTTCGTCTTCTTCCTCTTGTTAAGCTGAAGCCTGTCAGCTACGTCAACCCACAAAACTGTCATCCAGATATAATTCTTGTTCCTACAGCGTTATTTCTCTATTTCCAACTGCTTGTTTAATATTTTGTCTCCATCATAACCTTGGTCTTCAAATGGGCCTTCTTCCGATTGGTATTTCAAAAAATTATCATGCGCGAATTGTTCGTAACATGGAAGAAAAGTTTATTTACATATTTGTTATATTTTGAAGTAAAATTAGGAATATTTTAGCAATTTCTTTGTTTTCTTTTATTCCAAGTTGAAAAGTCGTTGAAAATAGATTTGTTTGTTTGTTTTAAGTTAAGCACAAAGCTACACAAAGGGCTATCTGTGCTCTGCCAACCACGGGTATCGAAACCCTGTTTATAACATTGTAATTCCGCAGACATGTGCCACTGGGGGGCTGGAATATAGAACTACCATATGTTTATATTCCATCAGCCGTTGAAAAGTTATTTACGAAAACGTTTATATTGAGTTTACAGGTAGTCTTTTTTAACTTGGAAAACCATATGCTGAAGAATTCTCAATTTGGAATATATATTCTAATTTTAATCATGTAAATCTTTCAACAACAATGAACAAACATTGTTCACAATTCAACGTTCCTGTATTCAGGTTCTTAAAATGTTCACAATTCAACGTTCCTGTATTCAGGTTCTTAAAATGTTCACAATTCAACGTTCCTGTATTCAGGTTCTTAAAATGTTCACAATTCAACGTTCCTGTATTCAGGTTCTTAAAATGTTCACAATTCAACGTTCCTGTATTCAGGTTCTTAAAATGTTCACAGTTCAACGTTCCTGTATTCAGGTTCTTAAAATGTTCACAGTTCAACGTTCCTGTATTCAGATTCTCACAATATTTCGTGCTTGTAATTTCAGTTCCAGAGTAACAAGTTTGAAATAGGAATTAGGATTATTATCTCATAATATCAATCGGTGTATTTCAATCCCAACATACAGTAGTTTTTGATGTATGGTTAGATTACGTAACGATAGGTTTTAATAACGACTTTTATGACTTGTCAAAACACAATTATCAGTTAATTTCGTATTCGTCTTTCTAATAAGTAGGCTCAGTATTTTATGTTGTGGGTTTGATTAATGTTTAGTTTTTGCCACATCATTGTAATATTTAATCTTGTCCAGATGGTTCGTACCAGTTTACTGTATTATTGTATGTGTTGAAAAAACCGGTGGGCCTATGTACCATGTTCAGTCATCTAAAGAAATAAAAGATATTCTTGGAATCATTGACACTAAATAAATAACATAAATAATAAAGTCGAAATATTGAAACGTGTACTGCCTTAGACTTCAGACGGACATACGACGTATAAGCATCCTTTCGAGCATAAACGTGATTTTTAAAACACGGGATTTATGCTTATTATAGGGCTTATAGTGAAACATAATCTA